AAACCTATTGGTTTAGCTGGTGTGTAAGTTAATCCCTTAAGACCCACCAGCTGTCGGTCTCAAGGGATCCTTTTAAATTCTGAGCATCTGCTGGGGCAGTCAGAAAGTGCAAACTACCTTGCAAAATGACAGTTTAGAAAGAATGGGGGTTTTACCCGGTTGCCTGGCAGTGTGTTGGGTGGTTCCTGCTGCCCTAAGAATATGCCATCAGATGGCATTCAAACTAATTTTTGTATTATTATTATTGAGACAAAGTTAAATTCTGTAGCCCAGGATAGCCTAGAACTGACCATATAGCCCAGGTTTGCTTCAAGCTCTGTCCCTCCCCCTGCTCCCCAACTGCTAAGCAAGACTTTTATACTTTTTAAAATTTAGATCTGGGAATGTTGAGGTGACTCAGGGAACAAGAGAGTGCGCTGCCAAGACGGAAATCTGAATTTGGTCCCTGGAACCCACATGGTGGACTCCCACAAAGTCTTCCTCTGACCTGTATGTGTCTCTGACAGGGCGCAGGTGCCCCCCAAAGGGTTAAACTTAGATCATTAATGACCAGACAACAGGATAGCAGTCGGAATGATTATTGTTATTATTAGTGTCTGGGTGTGTGGATGTCATGTCATTGGACACCCTGGAGGTGGAGTTAGAGATGGGATTGTCAGCCAGCTGTGAGTTCTGGGAGTCTCTGAAACCCGGGTCCTCTGAAAGAGCAGCCAGTGCTCTTAACCACCGAGAATCCATCCAGTCCTAGAATAATAATCATTTTTTAAAAATAATTAAAGTAACACGTACAAGTATATAGTCTTAATTTAAATGATTGCAGTAGTCAAAGGATCCAGTCTGGATTCCTAAGCAGTGACAGTTCGTAATTCTTGGTAACTAAGACAAATCACTAGCCAGTGTCAAGGTAGTGCCTTAAGTCACTGCACTGCGTCCTGTTGATCGCCACTTGACCATTGCTCTGCCTAGAGCCTTTTCCTGAAGCTGTGGTCATGCGCATGCATGCATATGTGCCTGTACTTTTGTGCTTTGGGAACACGGCCCGCCTTTTATTGGGCCCCGCAGGTGTTACATCCACCTGCGTGGTTCTGGTTCACTCAGACCCTTGGATGTCCTCAGCAGCAGAGAATGCTCTCAGTGAGTTCTCTCTGAGAACTCCCCAGAATGCCGTCACCGTAGGCACCGCCGTCAGATCTCTGCCCAAGAGACTGAGAAGAGCCTATCTAAGGGTCACTCCGTGCTTGCTATTCCGGAGGAGTTGATCCAGCTCTCCCTTTGGTTATATTCACTTTCTAGTATATTGGGATTCTATTTGGTAGGCTAGGAAAAGGATAACGGTGAGGGTAGGGTCTATTTTCACCTCGGTAGACACTGAGAGCTCACTGGTGGCAGAGACCAGCGTGTTTTGTAGACACTGGTCCGTGACTTGGATGTCCTCATTGCTAAGCGACTCGATTCATACTGGATATGAAGACAGAATGGTGTGTTTTTCCTCATCTTCAGTTCTGCAGACATACAGAACAATGAAGACATTCTTCTTGCCTGCGTTCCCAATGTGCTTGCTTACATTTTGGTTTGAGACTTCACAGTGAGAGATAAACCTGGATTTGTTTGTTCAGCTTTGAGCTTTGAGGTGCAGGCTTTAGTTTTGAACTGAGACGTGCTTAGGGGCACTGAGATTTTCAAATATTTCAGATAACGGGGGAAGATAGCTGATGTAACCCAAGGATGAAATTTCACAGGAACTTGATTTATCTCTCTCTGTTAACTGTTGGTGTCTCTGGACTAGCACCCCGGCTTGCTCTTTGTCCTGACCTCCTGTAGGGAATGCCTACAACAATGACTCTGTACAGATTCGATCTGAGGGCCTGTTTTAAGATTGGGATGTAAAGTTGAGATGATGCCCCACACTGTGGGCGAAAGCCTGCTGGAGGATTGAATGGATGTAGGATGCTTTTCTGTGATGTGTGGCTTCTGTCGTGATCAGGTTTACCCATACCGGCAGGATACCGGCAGGACACTGGATGCCATGTCAGATTTTTCTCAGAACATTATTATCCTCCGAGGCAGTGTTGAATACATCTTACCTTTCTCTTCAACTCTGAACTCATGTCTAACATAACCTGTGCCAACCAGATGGCCCCAACTAGAACTTAGAACTGCCAGGAAGCTGAAGGAGCTTTTCATAAGCTCTGGTAGCCCCACTGGGCTTTTGAGACAACATCTTGCTGTGTAGCTCAGGCTGGCTTTGAACTCATTGTGATCCCTCTTCAGCCTCCCAAATACTGGGATTATGGGTATGCACCAGGACATCCAGCTTCAGATAGTTGTCAACATGATAGTTACGTTTATTCAGGGTTTCAGAGTAGCATTTTCTACTAATGTGCTTTGCCAAGAAATAAACGACTCCTCTTCAACGGAAAATCTTTTTCTTTTTTGCCACAGACCTGGCTTCCCACCCCCATGCATGTCAGTTGGGAAGGAACATCACAGTAACTTAAAAACGTGCTCTTTTGCCTGGGAAGAACTATGTAGAAAAACAGCTCTGTCAAACATGCTTTGTTAACTAGCAGAGTCCTTTTTTAATAATACAAAAAAGATAACAGTCACCCTTTTAGAACGTATGTTTTGGTGGCAGCTAGTATATTCAGAACTGTCCATGCTACCCAGTTCCAAGATGCTCCCCTCAGCTCTGCAAGCAATCGGCACGCGGTAGGAGCCACTCCCTAGACTTGGGCAGCCGTGAGTCCTCATCTGCCCTTAAAGTTCTTGTTTATAAGGAACTACAGTCTGTCATCCCTTTAACTGGACATGAAATGATGAGATGGAAGGAACCAAGTAGATGAAGGCTGAAGGTTGACCTTCTGTGTCAGAAGTACTAGCTGGAAACCTCTTACTGTCCTGTAGGCCCCACTTTAAAGAGGAGGTGGTCTGCCCGGTCTGGGTGGAGACTCCTCTTACTAATTGTGGTGAAACTGCCACTCATTTAAGATAATGTGTGATCGTGTATAAGTGGTGGCTTGGATGCTGGCTTGTGGCGAGTGACCCTTTTGAGATCTAAGCCCAGCCTCAGCTCAGCCAGCTGGGCGCAGAGTCCCTCTGTCTTTCTCTTCCACGACATTTAGAATAGTCAGAATTGAACTAGATTGGTCAGAACCAGGAAAGCAAGCAGCTTGGGGCGATTGCAGGTGGATCGCGGGGTTAGCTGTCTAGATGAGCTAGCTATGTAAGTACTTGGGATTCTTGCCTATCATGTGAGCAGGGGATCTTGAAGTTTCTGAATTTGCAAGAAGAGTACATTAGTGACTTTAAAAGACAAAAAGTTGAGTTTTTGCCTGTGTCCTTGACTGGAGCAGGGAGGGTGAGATCATGTCCAAAGGCTTGTGAAGTGAGGCAGGTAAGGGAACCAACCCCTGGGGGACTCAGGTTCTGCTGCTGGTGTCCTTGGCTGTTCAGGGACTTTATGGCTACTGGATACGCTCTGTGGCTCAACACTTCAGTGCTGTCCTGTGTAGTCCTGGATGTCAGTCCCAGTATCACAAGTGTATTTTGGCAGATGTTTTCTAGGGTTACTGAGAGAATGTAACCCAGGGGTGTGCTGCCCCCACCCCCCCAAGCTTTGAGGATCTCGGTGTGTGTTGGGGAAGCTGGTCTCGAGGTGGTGATGGCCTTGGAGTGATTGTCCAGCCCTTTAAAGATAAAGGTAGTGGCTGCCCAAACCGGCCTCCTTTTTCCTGTCCTTCTGGCTGTCTGGTGTCAGTAGAGGTGTGGGATTTATGCAGCTCGCGCTCTCTCTCTCTCTCTCTCTCTCTCGCTCTCGCTCTCGCTCTCTCTCTCTCTCTCTCTGGACTTGGCTGTGTGCTTTCAGCAGACAAGACTGGAGAGATGGCTCAGCAGTTAAGCACACTGGCTGCTCTTCCGGGGGGATCTTGGTTGGATTTCCAGCACTTACACAGTGGTTTACAGTCGCCTATAACTTTAGTTCTAGGGGAACCAACACTTCCTTCTGGCTGCCATAGGCACACATGGTGCACAGACATCCCTACAGGCCAATACCTATTCACATAAGATGAAAACCTCAAAATCAAAAAAAAAAAAAAAACAGCTCAAGGAATGTATGTGGAATAAATATATCAAAAGGTTAAAAGGTTGGTGTGTTTTAGTTGTTTTTTTTTTTTTTTTTAATACTTTGAATAGAGCTGAGTCCCTTTCTTTCTAAAAGGGATTTTCCTTGAGAGTGATTATGCTTTGCTGGTTTTTAAAGCTTTTGGGGAGATGAGAGGTGACCCCCCCCAGAAGAATGTTGTCACCCACTGCATTATGCTTGGCCCCCTTTAGCTCGAGTGTTTCCACTGGGTCTTTTTCAACTCAATAATTCCTGCTTTGGCAATCACCCCACCTTCCACCTCTGAGCTCCACGAGCACACAGGTGTGCCTCTGTTCATTCGAGGTGGTGGCATTGAGGGAGTGTGCGCTAGTCAGGTGTGTGCTGCATAGGCTGGGTCCTGTCACGAGGGATGATGTGTGTTTCGGTATCGATCTTGGGGTACCTCCTGAAATCTCGCCTTTGTTAATTTGACCTGTCATTTTTTTTAAATGTTTATTTATTTATTATGTATACAATATTCCATCTGTGTGTATGTCTGCAGGCCAGAAGAGCACATCAGACTTCATTATAGATGGTTGTGAGCCACCATGTGGTTGCCGGGAATTGAACTCAGGACCTTTGGAAGAGCAGGCAATGCTCTTAACCACTGAGCCATCTCTCCAGCCCCTTGACCTGTCATTTTTAAGAAGGTTCATTCTGATAGTGGGAAGTTGTACCTAGAACCCCTGAGGAATTCCTCTGCTTTGTGTGTAGGGGTATGGAGGTTCACGGTTAAGAACAGAACTCTCGCGTGCTAAAATAGGCAGGTCTAGAAATAAGAGCTACGTTGCATTTGGGAAATTCTCTGTGTTCTCACCACATATTTTTGTTTTCTTCTTCTCATTCTTCTAAACAGCAAGCGAGGGCTGAGCAGGAAGAAGAATTCATCAGTAACACGTTATTCAAGAAAATCCAGGCCTTGCAGAAGGAGAAAGAAACGCTCGCCGTGAACTATGAGAAAGAAGAGGAGTTTCTTACCAACGAGCTCTCTCGGAAGCTGATGCAGGTAAACGCTCTCTTTGACCTTCCCTGCCCCGCACACTTCCTCTCCCTCTTGCTCTCCTTCTCCTGGGAAAATGGCTTTATAGAGTGTTTCATTTCTCGAGTGCTAATGTGGTCGTCGCCTCGGTTCTGTGACTTAAGAATGCTGGGGTATGTATGGGTCCTGCAGACTCTGGAGCCCACCTCGGGAAGGCGGGACGAGGCACATGAGGCTCCTCAGGGCTGCACCCAGGTCTCATTGTGGAAATGCGGGGCTCAGCGCCTGCTGGAAGATTCCTTTCTTCTTTGCAGTTGAGTCACAGACACCTCTGCAGGCGGAGGTGGGTCTTCTGCGCTCACACACGGGGCAGGGAAGTGAGGTCATGTTCTACTGGGTGAGCTGAGGTGCTGACTGAGCAGACTGCTCTTGCTAGTCATGGAGTGAAGCCCTTCGCAGAGCACAGCAGGGCGGTTTGGGTCCCTGTGAGGAGTCCATTCGCCTCTCTGCTTGTTTGTAGGCACATAAGTCATTAGCAGAACACAACTAACCCTCTGCGGCAGTGGTTTCTAGCCCGTGGTCATGACCCCTTCCGGGTAGCAAAACCCTTTCACAGAGGTCATCTAAGACCATTGAAAAACAGATTTGCATTATGATTCATAACAGTAGCAAATACAGTTATGAAATAGTGATGGAGATCAGTTTATGGTGGGGGGATCACCACAACATAAAAGTTCGTTAAGGGGCCGCGGCATGAGGAAGGTTGAGAAGCACCGCTCTGCAGAGATAGTTTGTATCTAATTTACGAATAAGATACTGAGCGAGTGAGCGGTCATATGAAGGGCGTCTGTATCTGTGCTGTCATTGAAGGAAGCACGGGTTTGTGTTTTCCATTACCAGAATCGCACCCAGGTTGCATACACTACAACCAAGAGTGTGTTTCAGCAAGGTCCCTTGTAAGAAGGTACTTGAAGCTTGTCACCACAGTGCTAGGTTCTTAACCTCCTCACCTAGAGGCTCCTCCAGGAAGCTTCTGTGTGTAGAAGCTTTAACTTTGTCCCTTTTCTAACATTTTCTTTCCTAGTCATTGAATAAAGACGGTGCTGGAGCTTGTGCCAGGGTGGATTCCAGCAGTGGCTGTTGGGAAGGGACTGATACATTGTGATGTAGAGAGGAGGAGGAGGCTAATTTGACTTGCTGCTGTCGCCCATGTTGTTTTCAACAGTCGATGACTTATTCTGCGTGATGTTTCTAGAAGCGCAGGGACACGGGCACAACCACAGGGTGTTTCTTCCGTGTTTAGCTGAGCCGTCAGTTTTCTTCATTTTTCACAGTGCACGAAGCCTTTCTTATGGAACTCACACTGCTGTTAGCATCTGGCTGAAGCTTCTTACTCAACAATTAGAACCTAGCCAGTGGAGATTTGTGTTCTGTGTAAACGTTCATCTCTGGGGTGAGAGGCCTTGCTGTTTGTGTAATTGGCCTCCCATTCACCTATCATAGCCTTTCCAGTTAACATCGGTGTCCCTCCCCTTCAGATAAGATATAAAAAAAGGGAACATGTAAGAGCCACGTGCAGAAGGAAGCAGTGATGGTGGCATATCAGGCCCAAGACGAGGCTTGGGCTTCAAATGTGTTCTCCTGGTGTTTTAAGAATTCACCTCTTCCCTGCAGAACTGTAGTGACTGTTCCCATATTCCTTAAATCTAACTTTGTATGTATTATAAATCTAAATCTACACGCCCAGTTTTTCTTTCTAAAGAGAATAGTGTTTGAACTGTATGACACACTAAACTGAACCTCTTACCCCTCAAAGTAGTATATAGTCTGAAACTTCATGTGGTAGTGTCTCGTCCACCTCGAGACCCAGTGTAAAGTGTGGTGAGCAGGCAAGTCTCAGAACACACTGTCAAACTCTCGGGTATAGGGATTCAGTTCCTCAGGAATCTCGGCTTGGCTTTTAGATCTTTAGGTGGTTGTTGGTTGTTTATACTTGCTTAAACATGGTGTTAAGTCTATTTTGAGGGTCTAATTCGGTGGTAGTATGTACATTAACATCTGACAGTGTCACTACTTTCCATCTCCAGAACGTTTTCAAACTGAAACTCTTCACTGAGGAACCGTACTTACCATCGTCTTCTGGGTCTTGAGATCTTGAAGGTAGTCAGTAGTGTGTTGCTTGGAGGTAGGCATTTCTGGCCTGTCTCCAAGTGGGGCTCCTTTTACAGCTCTATAAACCCGTTCTTTCAGCTAGCAGCTGTATTGCTTGGTCTTAGTTGAAAACTTGACAGGGATTAGAATCGGCCAGGAGGTCTGTTGGGAGGGCATTTCCAGAGAGGTTTAACTGAGGAGGGAAGACCTATCCTGATGGAGTTGCACTGCCCCGGAGGGCAGGGGTCCTGGACTATCTAAAGAGAGAGTGAGCTGAACTTTCTGCCTAACGCTGTGATGGGATCAGCTTCACACACCCACTACACACCCTTCGGTGTGATGGACATACACCCTCAAACCATGAGCCAAATAGCTCATGACAGAAACTAACCCAGTAGGCATACACACATGCCCAAGAACCTGCCTCCCTTGTTGGCCAGTCAGAGGAGCTATAACTCCAGGAAAGGACTGTCTAGTGTTTGATCCCCACCCTCCAGGCCCTTGGTACACATTTCCTGAATGGAGTCAACCGGTCCTTTGTCAGATACTCAAACTCTGAACCACCCAGTGTGGAAAAGCTTACTCCATCTGGAAGATTGTTAAGAGTAATCGGCGTGAATAGACTTTTCCAACTGTGTAGTTCCTTTAATACGGCTTTTGAGGTGTTTATTTCTGTTTTGATATAAAAAACTTGCTAAGGGAGACTGTTGTAGGTGCCACAGACAAACACACGTGGCAGAGTTGATCTGTTCTCCATGAGAGTGCTTTAGCGTGTTCCACCCAAACACCACTGGACATCCAGTTTATAGGACAGTGTGATTTCTCTGTCTTTTTTTTTTTTTTTTTAAAGATTTATTTATTTATTATGTATACAACATTCCTTCCATTATGCTTGCATGCCAGAAGAGGGCACCAGATCTCATTACAGATGGCTGTGAGCCACCATGTGGTTGCTGGGAATTGAACTCAGGACCTCTGGAAGAGCAGTCAGTGCTCTTAACCACTGAGCCATCTCTCCAGCCCCCTGATTTCTCTGTCTTGATTGGATGTTTTCTTAAGTATCCGTTTCAAAGAGATTCCTGAGAACAATTAGCCGAGGCCCAATGGAGTTCTTCTTGTTTCTGCCTCCAGGGACTGAAGGCACCATACCTGCTCCTGAGATGCTTATATAAAAACAAAATCAAGTTCATGTAACTGTAGGTGAGGGCCCTTCGGACTATCAGTCTGGGAAGTGAGTCTTCAGTAGAGCAAACCGCACAATGTCAGACATGCAGCGTGTAGCTCGTCTCGCTGCGTGCTTTTCTGTTTTGTGAAAACTTTATTCGGAGCACCGTATATCTTTCTGAGCCCCCGTTGTGGGACTGGCTACTTTATGAGTGATGGCTGACCTGAAAGAGTAGTAGCTTTCGAAGGATAGCGTACGGCGCTGCTCTGCAGCCCCTCAGAGAGAAGGCAGCATCGTCATTGTGTGGAATTGAAACGAATACGATGCTTGGAATGAGCAGACTCACACTGATAGACGGCATGTATGTTAGAAGTCTCAAAAGCGGTTCTCCAACATGTTAGCAGTCACTTGGGCTGGGGGCGGAGCATACAGTCTGTTATTAACTAATTTATTACCTTTTGAGGCAAGGTCTCCATCGTGCCCCAGCTCATGATTCTGCTGCCTCAGCCTTTCAAGTGCTGGGAGTACAGCCACGCACTGCCGCACCCTGCTAGGTTACGGTCATTGTAGGTGTACCTGCTCTTACTGTTTATGAGCAACATGCATTGTTTCTGTAAATGGACACTCTTTTCATGGGATTTAAAAATTCTGTCAACAGGATGCCTTTGCCTCTTGAAAACCGCCTTCCTGCCCCTTACTTCAGCCCTGGGAGCCCCGCTGTCATTGTCATGAGTAGCATGAAAGCTCATATGGTCAGACAGATTTATTCTTGGGTGATAAAGGTTTCTCACTTATCTCCCATCATTAAGAACCAGTATAATCCAAATGCCTGGTGGTGGGGTTCACTCCATGCTGACCCTCTATTGCTTTCATCATAGAATAATTGAGGGTAATAAGGAATGCTGGATATTCCATATTCCTCAGTTTGTAAAATCTGGTCCAGTTTTCAATTTGCTTACCTTGAAACAACAAATAGGTTCGCGGTCTTATTTTGATTTGCATTTGAAGTAGGATCTGGCACAGAGGGAAATGCTGTCATTTTAGATGGAATGGAAATGACTTTTATTCTACTGAGAAATCAATTCTGTTTTTAAATTGTGTGTGTGTGAGAGAGAGAGAGACAGAGACAGAAAGAGGAGGGCTTTGTGCATGCGAGTGCAGCGCCCACCAAGGCCATTGGACCCTCTTGGAGCTAGAGCTACAGATGATTGGCAGCTGACCAATGCAGGTGCTGGGAACTGAACTCAAGTCCTCTGTAAAGAGCAGTGGATACCTGTAACTGCTGAGCCATCGCTTCTCCTGCCCCTTGAGTGTCATTTTGTTACTAACTTGGCCCCCGAGGTTAGAATGCTTTCTATAATTTCAGTACTTTTCTAGCATCTGTAGAAACATGGAAGTTTTGTGTGAAACCAGTGGCGAAGCCGCTGGCACCAGGAGGTTGCCAGCTGGTGCCTCAGATGAACATCATTCAGAAGACGGTGGTGAGTGTTTCAGACTGGTGCCATGCAGTGGCAGTAGCATCCTTCCTTCTGTTCCAAGGGAATAAAAATGGGAAGGAAGCAAAATAATGTGCCCAGTTGTTCTTGTTTGCCCACCATGCTGCCGTGGTGGTTGGCATGAACGGCCCCCGTAGGCTCGCGAATGTTTGAGTCCTTGATCTGCAGTTGCTGCTGGTTTAGGCAGCATTAGGCGGGGTGGCCTTGCTGGAGAA